TCAAACTTGTTTCCTGTTACCATTGGTGGCCTCAGATCCAGGAATGGGTCAATGACTACATAGAAGGATGTGCTTGATGTAAACAAACCAAGGTTTTACCATTTAAACCCCACAGACCCTTGAAACCAAACAAAATTCCCAAAGGTCCATGGCAATTTATTAGCTGTAACCTTATCACCAATCTTCCCATTTCCAAAGGCAAAGACAGCATCTTCATGGTAGTAGACCATTTCACCAAACAGTCACACCTTATTCCAACCACCAGAGACGTTGACTCCAAAGGCATTGCAGATCTATTTCTCAAACATGTGTGGAAATTGCGTGGACTCCAAAGAGAGCAATCTTGGACAGAGGAACACAATTCATATCTAGATTCATGCAGGAAGTTTCCAAGAGACTAAGGATCAAATGGTTCATGTCTATGTTATGATCAGCGTTCACCAAGTGGTAAAGGCTTAACACAACCACTAGGACTCGTCAAGGATAAGAGCAAAGAGATGATATTGAGAGTGAACGTCTGAGTCTACACTGGGTAGGAACGAAGAGGTTAAGTCTAAAGAGAAACTACGCTAACTATCCTACCTATATACATAACATTGAGTCGGAGATATCTGAGTTCGTAAATAATCAGCCAATGAGAAAAGAGTCGTACGATACTGCGCATGACGTAGTATGACGTCGTGATATATAAGCAATGATGTCAGAGACGGAGATTAAATGATAGGAAGACATATGGTTCTAGCTCTGGGTGTAGGAGATCCGATCGGAGATGTGATTGGTGAAATGTGAAGAGGTGAAGTCGTGACATGGTGATGATGTGATAATGTGAAGGGTAATGGTGTCACGTGACCGGTTCGGGTATGAGGCATAGCCGAAGGAAAACCAAGAAATGAAAAATGATTCGTATTAGGAATTCGTGACAGTCTACCACATATCACCCACAAACCAATGGACAAACTGAACGAGTCAATCAAGAAGTAGAACAATATCTTTGACTCTTCACATCATATTGTCAGAACAATTGGGTATCTTAGCTTCTGATTGCAGAATTCACACACAATAATTCCATAATGGTCACCAGACATTCTCCATTCAAGTGTCTCTATGGCTATAGTCCCGAGTTCATAATTTCCCCCAACTCATCCAACACTGTTCCACAAGCTGATCAGCGACTAACAGAAATGAAAGAAGCACAAGAGGAGGCAAAAGCAATGCTAGAAATAGCAAACAATCAGATGAAACACTTTTACGATCATAAAGTAAAAGATACACCAGAGTTCAAGAAGGGCAAAAAAGTATGGTTAGACATGACAAACATCAAACAACGTCATCTGAGCCAAAAATTGTCTGACCACCGTCTTGGACCATTCAAAATCAAAGAGAAGATTGGCGAGCTAAACTACAAGTTGAAGCTCCCTAGTAAATATCGCATTCATCCAGTCTTCCACATTTCACTACTCACTATGCATCAAACATCTCAACTTGTTGACCACCCACCTCTCAAACATCCACCACCAGAGATTGTTGATCAAGTCCCAGAATATGAAGTGGAACAAATACTGCAAATGTGACTATACAGACACAAGTTGCAGTATTTGGTAAAGTGGAAAGGATACTCAGTAGAAGAAGCAACATGGTAAACAGAAGAACATGTGAAGAACGTGCCACTCATTGTAGCCAAATTTTATGCAACAAATCCAAATGCAGTTAAATTGGCGCGCATGTCTACTTCAATTCTAAATACTCCTGATTTCCTTGAATGGTGAAAAGAAACATTCGACTGTCATACATTCACGAGGACACTCATCCTAAAGAGGGGGTAATGTCACAAATTCCTAATACAAACCATTTTTCATTTCTCAGCTTTCCTTCAGGTACTTCCAGTACCCAAAACGGTCACGTGGCTCCTTACCCTTTCACACCTTCACATCATCACCATGTCACTTCTTCACATCTTCACATTTCACCTGTCACATCTCTAATTGGTTCCCCTATGCCCAGGGCTAGAACCATTTCATTACCAATCATTTAATCTCCACTTATGACCTCATCACTTATATATCACAACATCATACTACATCATCCACAGTATCATACAACTCTTTTCTCATTGGTTGATTTCTTTCAGACTCAGATATCTCCAATTCAATGTTATGTATATAGTTAGGGTAGTTGTAGCCAGTACTCCTTAGACTTAACCTCTTCATTCCTACCCAGTGTAGACTCAGACATTCACTTTCAATATCATCTATTCTTTTATCCTTGATGAGTCCTAGTGGTTGTGTGAAACCTTTGCCATTTGGTAAACATTGATCATAACACTGGCCATGCACTTGAGCTGCCTTCTTGGTGATCTTCATTACTCTTTTACCTAACCTGGACATGATTGATGTGTGAGAAGCTTTGAATTTTAATTTTAACTTTGAATTTCATAAGATAGAGTTGACATGTACTATACAGTTCTAGTAAGTTGCCAAGATTTGCCATACATGGTCATGGGCCCCTGAAATGATACACAGGTAGCCCATGGGTGAGGGGTACCTAAGACCATACCCCTGCAGATCCCTAGGGATACTGCTTGATAGAACATCAGAGTATGCTGTTGAGAGCAATGTCAGAGAGCTGATTGAAAAGGCAGATATGATGGATGATGTAGAGGACACTGGGGAGTCTGGTCATGTTGGTGATGTGGTCCATATACTGATATCTGAGCCACTCAGCATCATTGATCTCTGATTCCTTATCAGAGTCTTCATCAGAGTCGTTATCTAGTAGCTGATCAACCATAAACTCAATAAGCTCCATGTATCATGCAATGGTAAGGTCATTGGTGGTTTGTTTGAGGGTACAAAGTAGTTTTTTTTGATCCAATTCTTGAGGCATAGATGTAGTTGCAGAATGCTATATGACGGGTTATGGTACAAAGTATAGGGCTGATTTGTCAGCATCGGAGCTACAATTAAGGTAGATGCCATGCTAATTCAACAAACATCACATCATGTGACACAAGTGTGACAGACTTCAGATAACTCTTGCTGAAGTTGCCAAAAGGCCATAAAATGAGTGGAGGAGTAGTATAGCAAAGAATAACATAATGGGGTAGTATACAATTATGTGCAGGTAGCTAGAAATTAGTTTTGAGTAATAAGCACAATCCAATATGTATCAGAACTTGCTGCTGCTTCAGGACTCTGAAGGCTTGGAGTTTGTACATGATCTAACTAAAAGAAATGGGCAAGTTCTGCTGTGATGTCTGCATCTGGGTCATACCAGTGTTGCAGAGTGCTCAGGACATCACAAGCATGGTTATTGTCTCCACAGCAGCCAGTGACAGCTGCTGGTGATGTATACTCATCAGGCAGGATGGGGTTTACCTGTTTCCATGTTTTTTCGGTGCATGAGGGCTTCCACACTCACATTTTCGTGGTTACTGACTTTTCCTTTGGCGGTCTTTGCCTTTTTCGACTGCAAATTCGCAGCCCATACACTATGAGCACGTTTAGGCCATGGCATTGTGGGCAAATACCTTCCTGAAGCGGTGCGGCACAGTTGGCATGGCGGAGTTGTGGCAAAATTTCGTATACCGCCCCCTGTGTCACTGTTTCGTTAATAGCTCTCTCATTTCACCACGGATGTGCATTTTGAAACTGCAAAGTTGTTCAAACACATGCTCTTAATAGGATAGCAGTACAGATTTTTTGTACATTGAGTTGGCGAAATGCTATTAATTTTATGAGCTATAGTCACGATTTCATCAAGCTAATCACGTGATGTTCATTGCTTTTGCATGGCGTCTACCTTACTGGCAAGTCACAAAGTTCTTACCTTTCGAAATTTCTATGATGTCAACTTTGAGAACCACCAATATAATTAGAATAATTAAATGTTGCGATTTTCACACGGGATGTTTTCCCTGATGTACATGGACAGCGAATTTTTTTGCAATTTAAGTAGAATTTGTTAGCTACTGGGCAGTCTGTGGGTGTCTGTACAGGGAATCACAGAGTAAGGTGCTACTGTGATGAACTGGCTAATAGGGACCAAATTGTAGAGCTTGCACACTGTACAGCACTGTAAAGTGCTGCACAGAGCCGAGTAGTTTACTGATGCTTATTAAATTGTTATCGTGGCGATATGATAGGTTCCCTTATTGATGGTCCGGCTCCCTGGGACCATAGAGGCTATATCATTATGGCTAGCCGAATTAGCACTTGGGAAATGCTATGCCAGCCTCGTGGAGTTCAAGTTCTGGTCCTGCGAGTCTGTACTTGATGGCTTGACCAGGAGTCAAAAGGCCGCCCTGTGCTTTCATAGTACTAGTATTAGCGACCAAGTCGGATGCAGCCATGAAAGTAAGCAGTCTATTGACCTGCAATCCCGGTGCAGGAGGAAAAGGGCACCGTGATCAATAGACCATGATCCGATGGTCATCGGGCTTGTTCTAACTCAGGTCTCAAATGTTGCATCATTCATTGCACATCATGCACATATGCTGATTCGCTGATATCCAAATCACAAATGGGTTTCTGTCATTAGCGATGTCACAATCGAATCCAGCATATCGATACTGAAGACTACTAGTAGCTCCTCAGTTGAAATTCTCAGATGCCGTAGTCTCTTCTTTAAAGTGAGTACTCCAAGACTGATAGTTACTGACTGTCATGTGCCTCCGCGAGGTCTGATAGGGTCTGTTCCGTTAACTTGTGCGCAGCCCAAAATCAGCGCATTTGGGATCAGCATATTCGGGGGTCCTTATCCGCCTAGTAATGTCTTGGATCTCAGCCTTGGCTGCGAAGCTCTGCTGCCAGCAGCCACCAGTGGAGATTCGGTGGACAAAAAAACCATTCCGGTAAGTATCACATAAACTGAGTCACAAGCTAAAGCATCGTGGCCGTCAGCTGCGCTGGCAGTACTTAAGTAGCTATATAAGTAAAGCCCACCGACTTAATCATCTCAGCCTAATACCCTTTTATTCTTCAGTTGATTCTTCACGATTCATCATGCCCGCGAATACTTCACCTCATCCTCTTCTCACTTCATTCTTCATTCTTCTTGCGCTTCTCTCCTGCGCACTATCTGCTCCTGTTTCTCCCGTGGCGCTTGATGTCTGGGTACCCAAAATCACATCCCCTACATCCAACTGTACATGGACCGTCGGAGGGACATTCCTCGTCACATGGGATACGTCCTCAGAGCCTTCCCAAGTAACCAACCCTACTGGCAAGATCTACCTTCGCCAGGGCGGTGCAACCCAATCCAATCCCATCAAGTCTGGGTTTGCGCTTGCTGATGGTCAAGTTGATGTCACGGTCCCTGCGGACACCACTCCTGGAATGTGGGAGGTCGTATGTAAGCGTCCTTACACAATCGTAACCCAGTTCAGAAAGCTAACAGTCGACTCAGTGTTCGGCGACTCTGGAAACTGGAGTGACGAGTTCCCGATTGACGCAGCCACATCCTAAGCTGTCCGCAGCGTTTTCTATCAAATCTGCAAAATTTCAAGTGAGGATGAAAGATCGGAAGGGAAGGAGTGTACGTTTTCTTGATGTTTGGCGGACTGCTATGGACCTGGACAATGGACTCGGATCTGGACAATTGGCAACTCAATGGACTTCTTTCATTGACTTCAACCTACTGGACTTTGAACTCGCAATATCTTTTCGTTCTTCGCTATTTACGTGGTTCTGCTTCATCCAGCATCACTTTATGTACGTTGGCTGTAAAGGTTGCTTCCCTGTATCCTTACCATCGATCTCGTTTTGTTTTCTACGAGTCGTTTCAGCTAATGGTACAACACTCCTACCCGAGTGCTAGTATTTTCTACCCTTACTCAGTGATGATTATACTCGTTTCAGTCGTTCCATGTCGCGGGCACTGCACGGACCAACGCGTTCGCCCACACCAACCTCCTCAACGTTCCAGACTAACATGCTAAGATCTGAGCCATATCGACTTCGTAATCGATGTTGTATGTGTTCGACAGCATGACTGGACACTACATATGATCCAAAGGTCTCCCGAAGAAAGAAAAACTGCCCTATACAACCTCAGGGTATGTGTTGGAGTATATTGTGCCGTGAGTGGACATTCTGGACATTCCATGTCTCCGGAGTCCCATCTTCTCAAGCTCTGCATCTTATTAAGGCGAGTTAAGGTCACTGTGTCGACATATCACTCGCTGTAACTGGGAGGAAGCTCAGCTGAATGGTGCCGTGGCTCGCACTCAGTCAATTGGTTACTCATAGGCTCAACACGTTCAGAACAAATGAAAAACAGGCGTCAACTCAGTCGAATTCGTCGGGAGATGAGACAGTACCCGCCATAAACATCATCATTTAATGTCGCATGTGCCATTCCTGTGCAAGGGGTCAGCTATACGAACGCAAAGTTATAGTTATATGGCTGCGGACCGACCTAGGGGTATGGGAGGACACCATCTCAGAACCTCACGGAAAACGGCATCAAGGTAGGGTAGTGACGCTCTATCATCAATACATGACATTTTATCATGCCCCACGACGTGATTGATCCCTGCACGGGCTCGGGCTTGAACGTCAGGATAGAGAACCATAGCCAGCAGGAATGTCTGCAATGTGGATGTAGACTGCAGGACATCCAATGTAAGGGAAGAAGCGATCAGGACTCCCAAAATTAATGGCTCACCGTGTCTATGCAGCCTAAGACACCGATCCTCGTCAGATGACGTATGTTGTGTATTTTTAAAAACCCTTTACCTATGTATGCCATTAACGCAACAGCCTTCATCGTGTCTTCCTCAGCGTCGTCGTCACATTGACCGAGGAAGTCGGCGACTAATGAATGTGAAGCGATACCATTTGCCAATAGGCAAGAAGATCAGGCAATACGAGCATCCACAATGCGCAAACGTACCATCTGCGCCTTCGCCTCATCAAAGGGCTCGTTCAAAAGCTGCTGACATAATTCTCCACTGCGTCCCATCAGGGCATGAGCTCCACCAAAGCACCAAATTGGCAACTTTTCGACTGCAACCGACACGCTGGATGTTGAAATTGACGTCGTCGACAGCATTGAGGCACTCGCGGAAAGGAAAGGCTGTGAATATGGCGGCCCTCTCGGGGGAAAGAATATGTTTGGCGATATCAACGAGTTCATGCGCGCGGGCAAGGAATGGGTCATCGTGTCCGCGAGCAGTGTGTCCGTATGTTACAGCCATGATCAGGGATCCCGTGTATCTGTCAGAGTTGTTTGATCGTCAGCTGGACCAGACGCCACAACGACACCACTGAATTAGGTACGAACACTTCAGTGTGTTTCTGCATGTCACTGGTGGCATCCAAAAGATTGATGACCAGTTCATTCGCGTGGTGAGAGTACATCTCGTGGTATGAAACAGAGGCTTCGGCTCTGAGGACTTGATGGAAGATCTTGCGATGTCGTCGCAAAGTCTCACCATATGGAAGGAGCACAGCATTGAAAGCCAGTCCAGCTCTGCCTCGTTAGTTGATCAAGAACTGGCTGAATCACAACCAACAAAACAAACATACAATTCATTGGTGCGAATGACGGGGCGATCCGAGTAAATTGCAGATCGCTTGTCCAACAACTCCTGTGCGATCTTTTCGGAGTTGATGACAACCAAGTCGATCCCAAGGATGCGGGAGTGAATAAATTTTCCTATGATCAAGTATGAAATCAGATCCAAACATTCGACGAAGTCATTGGGGCACCAACCATATGTCTTTCCCCACGCAGTGTGTGAGCCAAGGTCGTTTAGCGTCCAACTGGAGCGCGTTACCCAAGAATGGTAATGGACGAGGGCCAGGCGGCAGAGGCAAAGGGTAGACGCGTCTGCAACTCAGATGCAAAGCAGCAACCAGAGAAATAATACACGGGATCGCTACAGCGAGAATATAAGCGAAGAGCATGGGGTGGGATTATACTAGTCGAAACCCAGACATGGTGTTCGCCTTATAAAAGGGTCTAAGTTGATTAAACGTTGCCAAGCTTTTATACCAGGACATGTATTTTCTAGCATCGATCACAAGATCGTTGGCCTCGATATCGGTATTTCTTGTCTTCTTATGTCCGTCATTACGATACGCAGACACTTGTGGTCGCGTGGATGAGCAGACTATACAACCCAAGTGATTGACTGATATCCAAGACAGCTATATGAAGAATTCTCACGCTTGTACTATATGCGTACATCTTCCGTTTTTGAATCTTATGTGTAGAGTCGCTTCCTCGTGAAGCGCGCGTCTTCTATCCTATTCGCTACCATTGCCATCATCCCTGTCATCATCATCCTTGTTTTTCCATTATATTTAAACATCTCAGCAAGGCGGGCTTGCGTCCCGGTGAATGAACCATCCCTTGAACCTGAGATCTGGACGAACAACGAACGACAAGCTCCACTCCCCAAGTCATTCATTGCGTAGAGAGCCAATATTAATTGAGTGCTAACAATGTCCAGCTACATATACTTCTGATCTATATACAATGCAAGAGTCCAGCCGCGGACAAGTGAGGAAAACAATATTTAAACCTGCCAACAACCAATCATTCGTACCGACGAACGCGTAAAGGTACTCCGGTACCATCCTCTCCAACAACCCGCGGACGAGGTAAAATCCCCCTCGCAATCTCAAGCTGAGTATCTGGTCCATCCCGCATCTCAAACATGAAATTCTTCACCAGAACCGATAAAACCGTCTATATCGCAGTGAGTGCACGTCGAAACGAGTTGATGCGTAAAGATTCACTTTGAATTCCACAAGTGCAAAGTCTTTTCCAAGACATGTCCTCGGGCCGTCGACAAATGTCAGCAAATGCCTATGACCTTGGACTTCCTTGGCCTTCCACTGATGCCCCCTTCAGTTAGCCAACGGTCAGGCTTGAATTCCTTTGCGTCAGGTCCCCAGATGGAGAAAGAGCGATTGATTGCTCCGGCTGAGATCGTAATCAATGACCCCTTGGCTACAGATATACTGTCGGTCATTTTCCCGGACGCCGTGCGCACAGGTTCACCCAAAGGAATAACATCATCTGCGGCTGCCTGGAGATCTACTGTCATGTGTATATTCAAATTTAGGCAGGCGCACTCACAAGCCGAACGAATTCGGATATCGGGGGATGGAGTCGTAGAATTTCATGGACAACAGCATCCAAGAACGGGAGGTTGGCTTTTAATTGGTCATATGTCGGATCAGCACCAAACGCAAGCAGTTCCTCTCTGAGTCTGGTTTGGACATCGAGGTGTCGCGATAGTTCGATCAGTGCCCACTGATGATTCCATGAATACTGTGCACAGACGTCATCGGACAGTAGACTTACCGTAAGACTGACTGCCAACGAAGAGTCAGCCAATATGATAGCAGCGGAAAAGAAATCGACTCACCGGATGTCGTCTCATAACCTGCGACAAGCAAGACCTTCATCTGCATGACGTTAGCTTGAAATTCGTCGCTAGAATAGTCTCCACGGACCTGAGCAACTACTTCCTCCTCGGACAGGCGAAGCTCGGCATCCTGACCTTCGGCTTTGACTGTTGTCGTGACGTAAATGAAGGGACTACGATAAATTTCAGAGAACGTACGCAACAGTCCAATAACGGACTTTTCCTCTTCTGCCTCGTTTATGTTTGCGCCCTTCTCCTGGCGACTGCGAATCAACAATTTGTTGGATATTTCGCTCATGGTTACGCCAAGTTTCTTGGTCAGAATCGTCCGCTTAGTGGGAATCTTGACGATGGTAGGAAATACTTCCGCGAGCAAAATAAAAACCTTGTTCACCGCTGAGGCCTGTGAATCGTTCCCGAACGTATCAAACACTTCGGTCACGGTAGCGTGCTTCCCATCGAGCGAGCCAAAATCATGGGAGAAACCGGCGATGCCAATCGTATCTAGACTGATGTCGCCTCAGTTTCAAGGCTTAAATAGCAAAGGGATCCATCGCGTACGAGGTATGATTCATCCTTGAAGTTGTTTAGAATGCAACTTTTCAGGCCAGGAAAGCTACGCACCAGTTCTGGACTTCAATGACCGCATTGCCATCCTTGCTCGATTCTATAGAGGTATCCCATGCACCCTTGACCTGTAGAATAAGCTCAGAGATGTCGCATTTCTGAGATTGTAAATCCCTACCTTGTATGCTGAGTCATAAAACACGGTTGTGAGTTTCCGAATAGCTGCGTTACTAAAAGCTGGCGTGAGGGCCTTCCGCTGCCTAATTCGCAGGGTGTTGATTAGTCACTGGCGCGAGGACAAGATTTGAACACTACCTCCTGTGGCTTTCACCGTGAGCCCATAGTAGCCCTCTGCCGATCTGATGAGAGATATCAGACAGACGAAACCAGAAGAGGATATCAACATACAAAGCCCTCTAGGAAAACTGACGCAAGGGGCGTCTGTACATAGGTCCATGTCTCTCGGGCATAAAAATGTGCTATAGCTTTTGGGTCACACAGCACGATTTTAGTCTGCCCGAGGACGCTCGGAATCATATATACTACCCCATATTCGTCCGCCCAACGTTCATACATTGCAGCAGTATCTGTAGATGAGACGAGGTCGTTCGAAACGCCATATACGATGCTGGAACGAGGTGGACCCCGCAGTTGAGTCGTCTTCAATCGCCAGCGGAGTGCCCTTAGAACTTTGACAAAGGCCCAAAGTGCTGCAAATGAACAGGCGACATTGAATGTGCCAACCGAATGCACGGTTGTCCAGAGACTTGATGAAGAGCCAGGTAGTATAGAGAGAGTAGTAGAGATCTTCATTCTCGTGACGGATTCGATGTGGAATCCAGCGGGAGATTTATAGCCACTTCTGAGGCTGCGGCGTGAGTACAAAGTTCACCGGCTTTTGCAACAGGGGAGTGCTTGCCATGCGGCACCGTTCCTTATACATCAAGAGTCACTATTCATAAAAACCGAAAAGTAAGTGTCGTGCATCAGTGAACCCGCTAGTCACTCTGCAAGAGTAAGGAAGATGCCCTACACTGCAAATACTGAGTGGGAGGCCATTCAAGCTCAAACGTGATGCGTAGGCTGGACGGCAAGGTTGCAGGTACACAGCCTTACGCGGAGATAAGGTCAAGCCGTGGCAATTCGTTGCCCTTGCGCTAAGGTAGTAGGCCAGATCTGGCCATATGTTTAGTTCCCAGAGACATCGCGGGACAATACGGTATTCAATAAGACTAACTGAGACACTTTTGGAGTAAGCACTAAGATGGATGCCAGCCTGGATGGACGCTATGAAGAGCAGCGAGCATGCATGGACTGACAATGGTTATCAAGAGCGGCTGGCACGGGTAAGGGACAATCAATTTTGGGTGGGGCAGATCCATCCATGCGTTGATGAGCAATGATGCTGAATGATGGGTTCGGAAGTTCGGTGATTCCGAATAGGGTGCGGGATAAAACTATTTGGGGAATTATTAGCCAGCTTTTTAGCCAGGTAGGCCTCGGGGAGATATTACAGCCATTTGCAGAACCTTAGGCCAGTCGTCAAAAAAAATATAGAACAGCGCAGTTTGAATTTACAAGTCCGGTCGCGTACTACAATTTTTACAGCCCAATCGGGCTCAAAGGCGGCTCAATTGGGCTCAAGGGTTCAATCGGGAAAATAGCAAGAAATTCATGTCCCTCGAGGAGGTCACCCAAGCACCATTGACCCTTTGCCTTGTACTGCTGCAATGCTTCCAAAGGCTCAGTGTGGTCGACATAAAACGAGGTGAATACAGATGAGACAGTGCTGGCATCACAGTCTGCTTGGAAGAGATTGCCCCTCAGTTCAGCAGCCTTGAGATAGCTGATACTGGAGGATGCTAGAATCCCCTCTGCATGGGTACGGATGAAGTCCAAATCAACATCATATATGTTGGTAGCTTGATGTCATCAGTTAGGATATCTGTATGATGGTAACAACATTGACTTACAAGCATATTTTGCCAAAATGTTGCAAGCAGCAGGATGAGATGAAATGAGACTGACAACCACTGACAGATGTGAATAAACTTTGGGATTTGAGAGTTTGCAAGAGTTGAGTCGCAATGTAGCGCTTGCAGACAGACTTGTCAATGACAAGCTGTGTCACCCAACCAACCGAATCAGAGGTGTGGTTGTTTAGATCACCTGGGATGGTGTGAGTTTTGCATGAAGTTGTGGGACAGCGATCTTACCATTGCTTGCACTGCCAGTGTAATTCCACACACTAGCAAATGCGTGACCAATAAGTTGGGTACCCGCAGTTGCGTCAGTCTGGGAGCAGGTTACCAGCACTGTCTTCTCGGGAAGAGATACGCATTGAGTTTGTAATCTGCTGCCACTCATCTTGACTTGTTCCCCTGTGTAAATGGTTCAGCAATTGCAAGGATCCAATGCGATGATTACTGACCAGGCCTGGTATACTTAGAAACTGTAACTGCTCTTGGTGTTAGGTACTGTGCCGGCTCAAGAGGCAGAGGGGTCGGGGCTTGGCTTCAGCTCTTGCGCTGCGCCCTTAGCCAAGTACGTGCCCCAAATTTGGAGCGGGTCTGACGTTGTCCAATGGTAGGACGGGTGGACTGCTTGGGTCCGCTTTGGGGGTCGGGGAGTAAAAGCTGCTAGCAGTGGGCCGACTAGGAGCGGAGCGGAGAAGGCGGGGAACGATGTGGGGGGTGAATAGGAGCAGGGGGAATGTCTGGTGGGAGCGGAGAAGGCGAAGGATAATGTGGAGGATGGAAAAGGGGTCCAGAGGGGAATATGGAAAGGGGCAGAGAAATAAGGGAGAGACTTAGAGCGCGGCTCTAAGTCGGAGCGGAGGGTCGGAGGGTTGGAGGTAACAACAAGCTGAAACTTGTGTCCAGAGGAGGCAAGGTCCTACTGAGAATTCTCACAAGTAGTAACTGCAAGAAGACAAGTAATATTAAGACTAAGGGAAAATATCTAAGTACATGATATGTTATATACTTCTATGTATGAGGCAGTGAACAGGATAACTATGTAGTAAAGCTATGTACCAAGGATATCATTTGTAAGTACTTTACATAGGAAAGACATAGGTCGGGGCGGATATCAATATGTACGCGTCGGATCAGTGATCGAGTGGTAATAGGAATTACCAGTGATTCGGAAGTAAAGGTCTAAGTACCGAAAGGGAAAGCATATATCTAAAAGGGGAAAGAGGTCCAGTTGAATGGAGATGTTATGGGAGGGGACCGGTTGAGCGGTTGAGCGGAGTGGATACAAATTATGATCGGGTGGAGCGGAGGATGAATGGAGCGGAGGGGGTCGGAAAGTGGAGCGGATATTGATACTAGGGCGGTCGGATCAGGTATATGACACTTGGGCCCCATATACCGTAGTTGGTGTTGAAGAGGCTTGCACAAGATTTCAGCATATCATCCATGATCTCACTGCCTGGAGTTGCAGTGAAGGAGAAAGTAACTCTAGAGGGAGAGCTGGGCATGAGGGCAATAGAAGATTGTGGGGGAGTCACAGAGTTCATGGTTGTGGGAGAAGCTGACAATGAGTCGTTTCCAAATTACTATATAATGACAACATGGTCTGTGTGCTCAACTCATGTGGCTCATCGTTCATATTGACCATATGGTGCATTTTTGACCCGATGGTTATGCTGAGCTGATATGTAAATTTATTATTGTCCAATATTGTGAAAAAGAAAAAGCTATAAGAACCCCCTCCCCAGCGACTGTACATAGGTCACACAAACTTGAAGGTTGCAGCCCACACTCCCAACAATGTCAGATACTCCTGCAAACACACAACCTGTGCGGCAGTCAGACTATGTTCATGGTGCTCCCAATATGGGGCATCCGTATCCTGCTTATCGCTATGCACCGCTGCCACCACCGCCACTGCATCACTGGCAACCTTTCATGCAGCATTACCCACAAATGCTGCAGCTTCAACAACATGGCAACTGGCAACAACAGCAGCTGATGCAGCACTATCTGCCGCCACCACAGTATATGCAGCAGTACTATGATCCTGCTGGACAGCAAGGCCTGCCTCTGCCATACCCCATTCAGCAGCACGTGCAGGCACCACTACCTGTGCAACATGGTCAGCCCCAGTCACAGTTTCAGCAGTATCAGAATGTACCATCAAATCCACCAGATCCCAGAGTCCCAGCAGCCCAAGCATCATCAAAGACACGATCAAACCCCGAACCATGCCCTGGTGGTACAATGTCCTGTCTGATTTAGTCGCTGCAGTAATACTGACCAAACATGCAGTTTATAGATTCAATGTTGATGTTATTGCTGGTGATGTGAAGCACAACTTTCAGGCTGAGACCGATATGCCTTGGGGGGACTTCAAAAGCCGTGTTCTTGCATACCTTGATAGTGCTGATAAGGAGGTTGAACTCATATCTAAATTTGCAGGTGATAGCGGCAGAGCGTCTCACCTAGACAATGCGGAAACCTTCAGCGTTGTCATGGAGCGTCTTTGTCAAAAGGTGTCTAATGTGCGCACACGAGCTGTTGGTTTAGAAGTAAAGAATGGAGTAAGTGATTATTTGTGCATAATGAAAATTACTTATGGTTGCTGCAAGGCCAAATGTACCACAGTAGCCGTCAAACCAAAAAAGAAGACTCGCAAAGATGATGTTCCTCCATCTCCAAGTGATGAGGATACTACACAGCTCAAAGCGTACAAACAGCTTGAGAGCCAGATCCGATGTGAACTTCACTGTGGACATTGCTTCATAGATCGCACTAGCGGCTGCGATAACCATCGTCATCTCAATCATGCTGAGATGACTCTCTGGGCTAAAAAGATTGTAAGCTCGATGTTCACACTTTCAGAAATAAATAGAAATAATGCAACTGAACGGTTAGGCTCTTGGTCATGCAACAATTTACAATCCACCTCACTGCCTCAATTTTGACCGTGGCCCAACTAAAAAGCCTCGTCACTCAAGGTCGGGATCAACACCTGAAGTCCATGTTACCATTCAGAATATAACATCGGATGCTGCTGCAGTGGCGTCTACATCCCGTCCCATGAGTACCAGCTACTCGAAGTCTCCTGGTGGTCCTCCACTGCTTTCACAGCCACGCGATCATTCAGAGCCATTGTCGTTGTCAAGTTCTCCACCGATACCAGATCCTTATTATCCGCTAATTAGAGTGGTCCTTGGACTGATTGATGTCAAAAGACCAGAACTGCAATTTGGCGACCTCAAAATGTCTCTGCTAGATGCGGGAGTGGTTTCATCTAGCCAAGTGGTGTTACTACCAGAGGAAGTGCTGAGTCTCATTGGCGATATGGGGCAAAAGCGAGCCAGAATCCTCCGCAATTACGCCAAACATATAGTTCTACCACTCCTCAGACTCTCGGGTGCCTATGAGGAAACAGAGATACTCAGCCCGGTAAATAAAGGCAAGAAACATACCGTTGAGGGCGATGGAACCACGGAGGATGGCTTGTGGCAGGTAGGAGATTCATGGATTGAAGGAAGTCCAGGTGACAAAGATAATGAAGTGGATGACTATGGGAGTGAGGGTAAGAGCGATGATGAGTGAAGGCAAAGGGCTCGAGGAATTTTGATCTGTGATACAAACCTAATAACATAGCACCACCGGCAGTTTCAACATGCCCGCGATCATAATCTTTACTTATATCTAGCGTCACATAGACTGGAATTATGAACAATATATACCTAGCACCTGAGTCAGATACATGGAACTATGTTGCGGGAGGAAAGAAAGACTCATGAATGAGAGAAACCCGTGCTAGATGAGCCCCCTATGCAATGTATTCACTGTGCTTATACCAACCGTAAGCCTTTTCCACCGTGATTACACCATAAACAGCTTCCCATATCAAAGTGTACGGATCACAACCTGGACCCTCAGTCTCGCCAAGCACATAGTCACGGTTGGACCGAAGCCATGCCTTGATGGCTGAAAAGGCCTCCTCAATAGGATTTAAATCAGGTGAATAGGATGGCAGGTACAAGAGCCACATGCTGCTAGAGAACAAAGAGGATCAGGATTGTCAAGCAGGAAATAAATAACCAACTTACCGCTGCTCAACCATATCGTGGATACCAGGGACTTTGTGGATGCTTGCATTGTCCATGACGAGCACTGAGTTTGGCATGGGCCAAGGCTGCATTCGGTCGAGCACACCACTGACGAAATCCCGGAATTCTTCACCAGTAAACGAATGGTCTAAAACCTCCAAATGGAGGATACCATCAAGTGATAAAGCTGGCAGAATGGAATATCTAAAATAAAATGTCAAGGCATGACGAGATATTCCACAACATAAGTACCTTTTCCGCATATGAAAAAATCCTGCCGTCGCTCACGGTTTCCGCGAGGAGCCCATGCAAAATCCCAACGAAGAGAAAGTCTGTTGAAATGAGATTCATCTGCAAATACGAGGTGCTCTGGCTGGAAATGTTCCCCTACAAGCATCTTGTAGGCAGCACGGTCATTTTCGTCATGTTCAATGGCTGGGCGCGTAACCTGACAATGTTGCATTAAACATACATACATAACAAGGATGGATGTGAGATGACCTTCTTCCTTGTAAATCCTTGCCTACGTATTGTCCTTGAAATCATTGAGATTAAAACCTCGACGCCACAGATCTCCTGCAGTTGATCTTGCATTTTTGTGAGGAGAATGTCTGGTTGTCGCTCAATACACGACTCAAGAAACTGAGAAGTTACATATAAGTGATATATACTGAGAATAGGCAATAGGCTCACGTTTGCATCAAGGCTGTCAAGGATGCAGGGTTGACCTGCACAAACCGGTGTCCTCACGACTTCACCAGTCTCCCGAAATGTCTTCCGAATATATTGCATCGATCACTCACTGATACCAGTGTAACGACGAATTGTTCTGTCTTTGACATTTAGCAAGGACATTTGTAAAGCTACTTCCTTGCGTTCTTTGGGTATGTGACGTCGCATCGTAGTATGTGATTGACTGTTGGAAGTTGAAAGTTTGTGGTCCGACTTCTATTTTTTTTTTGACGACTGGCCTAAGGTTCTGCAAATGGCTGTAACTAATGGTTTTTTAGCTGCTTTTTAGCCAGTCACGTGACCTTGTTTTTAACAGGCTAAACATTCACTAATAATCATAGCTAATTAGCCAGCGCAAATAATGCTTAGGGCCATTCCTCTGGCCACTTGTCATCACCACCACCACCATTCTCCTCAATCTTCTGATTCTCCTTGGCCTTACCCTTGCCCTTATTCTTCCCTGCACTGTCAGGAGCCAAGTCAGCCAACACTGCAAGGAACCCATCAGCATTCAAGTCTATCTCGGGTTCCACATTGAATTCAACGTCGTTTGGTGTCGTCACTGTCGTGGAACTCTCCTGCATGTAATCCAACCAAGTACCGGTCTCGTCTTCTTCAATTTCTTCATCTCCATCGTGGCTATCAATTTACTTCCGAAGCCGTTAGAGTTCTGACACATCTGAGCATCTGAGCACTAATCATTCAATGACTCTACAAAATACAGAGTATGTGGTGCCCTGTTCCAACTCAGAGCCTCGTTCGGTTCTGACATTTGGTAATATTCAAGTCCGAACATCTGGAGCCCAAAACCCCCCCAACACCATCATCACCCAATGCATTTTTAATGCATCCCACCACTGCATTTTTTAGACTGGGAAATTTATTACTACACCCAAAACATGGTCATCTCCTAGATCTCAACATTTCCCACACTTCTCCCCAGCACATTCCTGCCCACCATCATACCATATCCACCTATTTACCATAGAGAAGTATCAGTGTATGCTATGTACATACAATAGGTCACAATAGAACACTTTTTTGTCTGTTTTGTCCCAATACAAGCTCCAGAGACCTGTACATATAATCAGGAAAAACATATCAAAAACACATCCACATTTTTTCCCCTTCAATGGTAGAATGTCTTTGCACAGTAGTTATATGTTTTTGAGTATATATGAGTCTATTCCACTGCTTGTTTGGCCCTCTAAAGGTCCCTGCAGCACCAGATGTAGTATGCACACAAAAAATAACACATAGCTTTGCATTTTAACTGTACAGACTTGCAAATATGATTCCCAGCAACCTTTCAATAGTATATACAGTATCTCAGGAGCACAGGACTGCTCATCTGCATTTGATGAATAGGGAACTGAAATCTGATTTTTACAGGAGAAAAACTCTACAAATGTCATTGATGGCATATACAGGGGGTGGAGTACATAGGCATGGCAATTTTTAATAAGGGAGTAACATAGACAGACTGTTTCCGGACATTTCCAGGGTCTCTCAGTTATAATTTACAGTATCCTGCTGGTAACTGAGAGCCATTAAGTGTAAAAGCCCCAAGTTGGAACAGGTCACACATCACCACAAAATACATCCCCAAAATTACCGAATCCAGACATCACATGACAAGTTGAAATTTCTGATACCACCAACAACAGATCCTTGTGATATCTGACATGAGTCCACACCTGTTGTACCTTCAGCACAGGAAGCAAGCAGGGCACAAAGTGCTCTGCTGGAGGTACCTTTGGTGCCTCGCCTACATATTACTTACTTGTATCAAATTAATAATGTCTTAAATATTACATTTACAAAATACTATATAGTTTTGTTTTAGTTGTGGGATGTTGCACAAACAGTGAGACTGTCATATACCTGATCCGACTGCTCCACTTATTGATATCTGCTCCACCCGACATCATACTTCCCCGCTCTCCTACCACCTCCGCTCCATCCACCCTCCACTTGTCCCAGTCAACTCCCGCATCCGCTCCTATGGCTCCGCTCGACTGCCTCGTTGGTTGCCTTCCGCATCATCCATTCTACTGTAAAACTCCTTTCCCCATTTAGATATATACTTTCCCCATTTGCACATAGTACTTACTTCCCAGATCACCGGTACTTCCAATAACTGCTCAACTAACTGATCCGATGCGTACATATTGATATCCACTCCAACTTATGTTTTTCACCTGTGTCTACTTACAAATTGTATACTTGGTACATAGCCTCATACCAAGGACTAACTAGTCACTGCCTCCTACATATCCTGTACTTAGCTACTCCCTAGTCTTAATATTACTTGTCTTCCCGCTGTCTCTACTAGTGGGAATTCTCTGTAGGACTTTGCTCCCTCTCCAGACACAAGTATACCTTGTCGTCACCTCTGACCCTCCGCTCCAACTTAGAGCCGCGCTCTAAGTATTTACTCTTACCTCTCCAACTCCACCAATCAATCCCCTTGCTCCCCTCTGTCCCAGCAAACTTCCTCCACCTTCTCCAGTCCATTCCTAGTCAGATTACTGCTAGCAGCATTTACTTCCCGACCCACCAAGCGGACCAAAGTGGTCCACCCGTCCTATCGTCGGACATCATCAGATCTGCTCCAAATTCATGGCACATACTCGGCTAAGGGCACAGCGCAAGAGCTGAAGCCAAGCCCCGACCCTTCCACTTCTCCGTCCGAGCACGGTCTCTAACAGAGACTGAAGTTTGCCTGGGACACTGGCTTGCAATCCTGTGGCCTCCCATCCTCCTCCCATTGTCCTCCCATTGTCATCCTCCCATCTCCCCATTCTCCCCATTTCTCTATTCTCCATCTTCCCATTCCCATGTTTACCCATTGCCCATTTTTCCTATCTTTATATTTTCACATTTTTTTATTTGCTTGGTGTTCTTTTTCTATCCCAAAATCCCTTGTTGTGCCTCAATTTTTACAAATTCAGTACATATAACCAATTTTGGATAGTGAGCTTGTACAGTAAGGGACAATGGTTTTTGCAAATTCAAACTCCGCTTGACAGAACCACGTGAGATTTCTAAATTGAGGTTTAAGCGAGGTAAGCACAAACCATGTGGCCTTTGCCAAAATATGTGGTGTTGGTGAGATACACGTCTCCCATGCACTGCCACCACCACTCTCCCTTTCTTCTTAAATTTGAAATATCAACCTGATATGATGACATTAAACATACCAACTATTGGACATAACTCATCTAGTAGTATACCTGTCAGACAGACATCAGATACAGTGAATCACGGGTCATTGAAACATGAAAATGATATTTGATGTGCTACACTGCCGCATCACAACTCTGAGGCTCTACTGTATTTTTCCCATATAAACAGACATCTCACAAGTAGACCTATATAATTTTTATGAGTAGATTCCCAGTAGTTTGAGCACCATGGCAAATTTAGTGGAGGGACCTTGTTTTCGGTATTTCTCACTGAATGAAACACCATATTATTTCCTTATCTGACATTATGTAAGCTATCTATCGCACATTCATTGAGCCTTATCATTCGTTGTCACTATCATCTGAGCTGTCCTCATCCAGCGCTATCACATCTTCTGCACTCTCGTTATCATTCTCCTCACAAGCATTGAATCTTGGCCTTAGAACAGGAGGCTGCAGCTTTCCCAAAACTGGCTTCTTCAACAGTGAATTTCTGCTTTGAAAGCTTGGCCTTTGACTTCTCCTCATTCCAGATCTCCACTGCTTCATGGTATTGAGTGCATTGCTTGTTATTCTCCCATTTTTTCTCATCCTTGAGTCTTTTCCATGTTGCCAAAGCCCCAGACCTTTGTTCCCTTTCCTGCCTTCTTGTTTTCTTGTTATCTGCTACTCTTTTTTTTTTTTTTTTTGAATACAATTTCTGTCCTTTGCAGAGAAGTACTCTATGTAGGACATTACAATCTAGTCTAGGGGACTCCCAGTGTCCCTATCGCATCTTGAGTGCCCAAATGCCCTGCTGTGAGGCGTACCCCCAGCAGTCCACCATTCCCGCCGGCCATTTTAGATGGACCACCCGGTGTTGATGAGATGACTTTATGCATGCGTGCGCTTGTATGTATAACTATTGTGACATTTATTGAACGTGTACTTGGTCGCATATAGCGATCAGGTACAGGAATCGGTGGGTGGGTAAACGAGGGTTTGGATGAATGGTCAGATGAACATTAGTGACCATTACAGGGATGTTTGACATGCACCGCGTGAGGAGATTCCGTGTAGACAAGTAGAGGTTGTACAGTCTTGAGTGAATGGAGGAGAGGGGAGAAGGTTGGTGTTACAGGTGATATGTTCATGCATTTAGTACAGCGTTCGGGGATTATGTTCATGGCTGTTCTATCTAGGGGGAGGGAAAAATTGTCAGTCCAGGGGCTTGCGAGGGAGCAGGATTTCACCGAATGTCTGCCTGAGGCGTCCTGTTGCGTTGATGAAGTGAGTGAGGTGTGGGGTTGCATCTAGATCTGAGAGAAGGAAGGGGAGTGATGAGGCTCTCCGTCCTAGTGCTAGCATGAGGACATGTCGTTCTCTACAATAACAAGTGCAGTCAAGCAGGTAGTGAGGGACCATTTCGTCTTTTCCTGGGCAGTGTGAGCAGTGCGGCAATGGGTGCTTTCCAATACGATGGAGATGATGGTTGAGGGGGATATGTTGAGTTCTGAGCGCCATGTAGACGCCGGTGAGTCGCTTGGGGAAGTCTGCCGTGAATTTGACGAAGGAGCATTGTAGGATTTTTGGGTCTATGTGGTTGATTCGGTTATAGCAAGGTGACTTGCGCCATATCCTTCCCCATCTGCAATGCATGGCCTGGTGGTGAGCTGCTTTGAGTGCGGATATACTGAGGGGGAGGGTGTTGTAACGCAGGTAGTCTGGGAGCTCCTCACTAGGGCTGGTGTGCTGACACTCTTCAGCCGCTTTCTTTGCCTGCTTGTCAGCTTCTTCATTGCCGTGGATGTCAACATGTCCTGGTACCCAGTGGACAGTCACTTTGAAGTCGTTGTGGTCTTTGGCGATTTCTTTCATCTTGCTGTGAAAACAATCTATTAAGTACGTGCCCGGATTCGATTGGAAGCCCTCACCGGATTGGATGGTTGCCTGGTTGTCGACACAGATTGATATTGGGAATGTAAGGTCTTCCTCCATTGCTAAAAGCTCTGCTGCTAATGTTAGGCCAACTGCCTCTGCTTCATAGACCATGTGTTCTTCCTCCTTTCCTAGGTGGAAACGCAAGGTGCGTGGGTGTTTCCCTGCACAAAATAGAATCGCTGCTGCTCCTATCCGTCCTTGATGTCCTGACCCGTCGCTGTAGACTTGAATGTTGTCCATCATCTGGGCATGCTTTTCGATGGCAGCTTGTTTAGATGGTTCAATGTGGGTCTTGAAGGGGTTGCGACTGGTAGGTGATCTATGGGCTGGGATGAGAGTTTCGATCTCAAGGGGATCTATTTTGAATTGGCGGGTAAGGTGATGGAGAGATGTGCGATGGGAGTTGACAAATCGCCTGGCTGCGTGTCTTACGGGGTCAAATCTGCTACTCTTTTCTGCTCTTTCTCATGATTCACAACCCTCTTGTAAAAATCATCACCGGACAATAACCGAGGCAAGCCGTCACCCATCAACTTGCCATTTTTCTTCTTGGATTGCTTCTTTTCTTCCTGGTTTGCCAGTTGCCCACGCAGCTGTGAACAATACAGTTAGTTTAGAACATTGGTTGCCTGGAGCTCAATTACATGTCATTTGAGAGCTGCATTTGCAGATTCTGCTTCACAAAGTGTGGAAAGGAGAAGCACTTCATTGTGTGTTCTAGGTTGAATGCCGAGAACATCTCCTTGCTTTTGTTTGATTGGAGAAATGATATGTAATGTAGCATGATTGAGTCGAGTTTCTCATGTTGGAGGTGATGTGAATGCTAGGTCTTATAATGACATCCTGCTGAGCTGCTGAACCAGCAGCTCAACATCCAAAGCTGTTGTTGACTCAGACGGTGCATTCAAGACAATGTTGTCTTGTGTCTCTGAGGCCATGTTATCTGTGTTTGCTAATTTCTGCAGGAAGTTGGCAATGGCTCTGAGAGGACTTGAAGGCATGATGAGAAGATGGCCCTGGCAGGAAGTTTCCTTGCTTGGTGCCATCATCTGTTCGCTAATGACAGTGGGATCGAATGGCCAGACACCAGTTTTACAAAAGGCCATGCGAATTAGATCTGGGGTCAGCGCTCGAAGATGAGCATGCCTGTATATTGTGACAAAATTGCTTTTCGTAATGCCCTTGCCCTTTTCTCTCTCCCACTTGTCTCGTTCCTCACTCCAGCATTTCTTCAGCACTGCGAATACCACGATATCAAGTCCTTGGTATACATGAGTTGCATGAGAGGGATAACACATGATGTGAATTTGGTGAGCTCGTGCATACTTCAAGAATCCCAAAGTATAGTGTGAATTATGGCCATCGACTATATGTAGTCTATCCCATCCATTGGTCTTTTCTTTTGTGTGTTTATCAAAGTCTTTGATGTATTCCATGCCAATTTCACCATTGGTCCAGCCTTTTTTAGAGTACCCAATGCTATGTCATGATTTGATATTTATATCGTGATTTTTGAGTCAACATAATGAACACTTATGATGCATTGCAGGATTTTCCTGATGCCATTTCATCTGATAAGCATTGCCTTTCAGAATGACTGCAGGCAGAATTGAGGTACCATCAGCACAGATGGTTACAATGACGGTGATATTTTCCCTGCCTCCGGTTCATTGCTGATATTGGGGTGTAGGTTTGCGACCACCGATAACATATTCGTGCATTCCTGATTGAGGTGATATACCAATCTCATTGGCAGCATAAATACAGTCTTCATCAATACACTTCTCTTCCAGCACTGCCCCCAGCAGTGAAAACCATTCTCTGTGGGTATTGGGATTTACTGCCTGTTACGCCGAAGTATAATGCAGGCAAAACAATAATCAATAAGACCAAAGGTCTGTCGATACGTTCAAGACAACAGTCTTAAGAACGTCCAAAGTAAAGTCAAGACTAAGTACCGAAGAGGTAACTTAGAACCAAGTCAGATGTTCAGAGGAAAACCAGCGTAGGTTAAGCTGAAGAATCAGCGTCACCTAGCCAGGGTTTATATAGTACAGAGGGTACAGGGCATGACATAATAATAGGTATGTATCAGTAAGCACATGCGTAAGCAATGAGGCGTCTGAGTAATACCGAAACTAAATATAGCATGATAAGAGACATGCTTAGAAAGCATGGATCAAGGGAAAAAGAAGTAAGATAAACACAGCTGTAACATCACCCCCTTCTTACGTGAAAAGTCCCAGACTTTTACTCAAGACCATGACGCCGATCTTCTTCTGTGCCTCCAAGCCCATCAAGGGCCTCAAAGAAACCTCGTTCCTCCATGAGAATCAACGTCAATTGTTGAAGTTTCTCTTTGATGTCTCGAATGCTATAGTCGAGGGAGAAGAGCTCGTCTTCTCTGTACTCGGCATTATGCCTTTCCAAGGTATTCTCGAGACAATCTCCGAGGCGATAGAGATCATAGAGGGCGTTAAGAGTGGGGTCGGTATCGATAGCAGTCCTTAATGGGGTTCTTGAAGAGTTTGGACGACAACATGATTCTACGATGAAGTCTACGATCTTCAAGATCGGACAAGTAGGGGTCAGTTGCTACTCTCCAAGGAGCTGCTCGTCGACAAGCTGCAACACGCTCACGGGTACGGATAGTGGTAGGACTAGCGGGAGTGTCAATAAAAGTGGGGATGATTGGTTCGTTAAATATCTGGTAAGGGGACGATTGTCCCGATGGCAGCAACGGAGAAGTCGGGCGAGGAGGTTCGGGGGAGTTTCTCTGACTGATAGTCATATAGTGAGGACGGGGAGAGAAGACAGGGAATCTGAGGTTCGGGATTGGAACGTTAGGAGCGCTGTTGTGCGTGATGACGAGATTTATGTCTTCGTCACTAGAGGAAATGTAGTTACGTCCACCGGTAGAGGGCATGGTCTGAATGGTTTGGTGATGATGGTTCGAGTTGGGAGGGAAATGAGTCGATGTGCCTGCTTATATCTGTTCAAGATTTCAGCAGAGTTGGCTAAATCAGACTCCGACAACCATTCATTATCGGCCGATGGATAACCTTTCCATTTGACAAGGAAGCATCATCGTGAGAGAGTTCCTTTATGTCTGAGGATAGCTTCTACCTCGTGTTCTTCTTCTCCGTCAATTAGGTCAGGAGGTGGCGAAGGGAAGTTAGGACTGTGTTCTTCATTCTCACGATAAGGGGTAAGAAGTGCTGCGTGGAATACCGGATGAACACGCCATTGGCTCGGAAGTTTTAGGCGGTATGTGACTGGTCCAAGTACTTCCGAGATAGTGAAGGGTCCTTCTCTCTTGGGTGCTAATTTCCTATTGGGGTAATTGAGATGAAGGTTCTTTGCTTCTAGCCAAACTTTGTCGCCTTTCTTGAAGGGTGTGAATGATCGGGTGATTCTTTGCCTCATGGTTTGTCTAGCGAGTTCATGTGATGATAGAGCTTCTTCTCGAGCCTTCTGGAGTTCTGATATTCTTGCTTCGATGGCTGGGAGATCCGATCTCTCGGTAGCCAATGGTAATGCTTGTGGGTGATATCCCATCATGAGATAGAAGGGAGAAGTGTTTCGTGTGGAATGATGTTGGGAGTTGTGTATGAATTCTGCCATGGGAAGTTTTTCTGACCATGAGGTTTGATCATTCGCACAGAAGATACGAAGATACACTTCCAGTTCTTGGTTTACTCATTCTGTTTCTCCATCTGTTTGTGGGTGGAATGCGGTAGAGAGTGCGATCTTATATCCCAGGAGTCGTCCCAGTTCTTGTGCGAACTTAGCTGCAAATTGGGGTCCTTTATCAGAGATGATTTTGTCATAGAGTCCGAAGTGTGTGTAGACACGGTTGAAGAATACGTCGGCGACTCCTTCTGCATCGATCATTTTGTTGCAAGGCGTGAGCACCACCCCCTTCGTAAGCCCATGGTCTACCACGACCATGATAGAATCGAAGCCGTTCGACGGGGGCAGGTCTACGATGAGGTCAACAGAGCATTGGGCAAAGGGGCGGGAAGAAGTAGGGGCGGGAATAGGACAAAGGGGTGGTTTCGTAGGGTGGGTGTTGACCTTATTCTGTTGGCAAACAGCACAACCTTCGACATATTTGCGAATGAAAGTGGGAAGGCCAGGCCACCAGTAGTCACGAGAGATGATTTCTTGAGTTTTTAAACGACCAGGATGGCCGGCGGTCGGGGAGTCGTGATGTAGAGATATCAATTCTTTCCGCAAAGGACCTGGGGGAACATAGTTTCGACCCTTGAAGGTAAGAATCGCATCGGAAAAGGTCCAATCAGAGAGCACTGATTTCATAGGGAGGGGCAGGGTGGGATTAGAAAGGGCGTCGATGGTTTGCTGCACCACCGGGTCCACCGAGGATGAGATGCGAAGTTTCTCCTGCATGGAAGTGTCGATAAGGTTAATGAATAGTCCATCGGGGAGGACAGTGACATCGGAATTGTCCTTCGCATCAATAGGAATATGATCGGGTCTATGGGATAGGGAGTCAGGAACGGAAAGGTCTTTGCCGGGTACATGTTGGAGTTGAAGGTCAAATCGAGAGAGGAATAGGAGCCAACGAGCTTGTCGACGATTGAGCTGTTGGGCTTGGCGGAAGTAGGTCAAATTCTTGTGGTCGGTCATGACGAGGACAGGGAAAGGGGAACCTTCAAGGTAATGACGCCAAGCTTCTAACGCTTGTATGATGGCTAATAATTCTCGATCGAAGATTTGATAGTTCCGTTCTGCCGGGGAAAAGGTTTGTGAGAGATAGGAACAAGGATGCCAGTCACCGTTGGAGTCCTTTTGAAGGAGTACTCCACTGGTAGCATAGAGAGATGCGTCAACAGCAATTGCGAAAGGTGCATTTTTGTCAGGAATGGAAAGTACAGGGGCGGAGAGGAAACGGTTCTTCAGGTCATTGAACGCTTTATCGCATTCTGGCGACCAATCAAAGATGACGTCTTTCCTTGTAAGGTCAATGAGTGGTCACGCGATAGTAGAATAGTCAGCAATGAATCGACGGTAGAAATTGGCGAATCCTAAGAACGATCGAACATGCTTAACGGTTGTTGGTTGTTCCCATTTGACAACTCCGTCTAGTTTGACTTTGTCCATACAGATTTGTCCGGGGCGGATGAGGAGACCGAGATATTCGACTTCGGTGGTGTCAAAGACACACTTTTCAGGTTTGAGAGAGAGTTGATGATCACGAAGTCGTTGTAGTACTCGCATTGTTTGTTCGTGGTGGGATTCGAGATCTTTGGAGAAGATTAAGATGTCGTCCATATAAATGACCATCCAGCCTTCGTCAATCATGTCGGAGAAGATGTCATTCATCATTGCTTGGAACGTTGCGGGGGCATTGCATAGACCAAAGAACATGACTGTTGGTTCAAAAAGTCCTCTTGACGTTTTGAATGCGGCTTTCCATCTATCTGGTCCATGGATTCGAACGTTATTGTATCCTGCGCGTACATCCATCTTTGTGAAGATTGTTGCGCCTTTTAGTTTGTCGATGAGGTCGGGAATACGGGGTAAGGGATAGGCATCCTTCACGGTTGCATTGTTGAGTCTTCTATAGTCTTGACATGGTCTAAGA